GAGGTGATTCATGAAAAGGGGGGCCAAGGGGTTGACCCCTGTTTTGAAATTGAAGGATGGAAAATCCTGGTATCTGGTGGGTACTAGACTTAGCAGGGTATCACTCTGTAAATTACCTAAGTGTCCAACCACTATGCTGTACACCTGAAACAAACATAAAATATTGAACGTTAACTGTAATTGGGGGGAAAAAAAAAAAAAAGTCCTGGCATCAACTTTTAAAATCAGTGGCCTCTCAAAGTTTAGGGGTGGCCAACCCCACCCCACACAAGAAGGACAAATACCTCACATTCTTCCCAACTCCATCCTCAGCCCCCTTCTATCTTCTGGCACTTGGTGTCCACACTTGGCTCCCAGGCCCTGCAGACCGATGAGAATAACTAGACATCCTTTTCTGAAAAGCTGCCAACTCAATCCCCATTCTGTTAAAGGTCATCCTCCCTCAAGTTGGCCTGGTTTTCTGGAATTCCTCGGCTTCTGCAGCCAAGGAAGACTCACTTTTTTCTTCTTCCCTGAAACATGAAATTTCATTCTTACAGAAGAATATAAAAACCATCCTGCTCAGCAGAGCTGATGTAAATATACCCCAAAGCAGGCCTTCGACATGGAATGTCATCAGCAAAAGGCAAAGGGAAGATGACTTTTAACCCTTAAATACTGAAAAATACAGGGCGTTAGTGAAAGACACAGGATAAGTACAGTATTTCATGTGCTCTTAGCAGGGAAAGGGCTCTAGATTCAAAAGTGCTTCCCAGTGACAGCAGAAAGTACACAAATGTAAATGAACCCCCTGCAGGCAGACCCTCTCAAATACCCTAGTGGTGTCTCTTCAGAGCCAGCGGTCCCCTGCTGTTCCAGGTCATTGGCAGGGATTAATCCTGATGTCCTCCTTTAGAGTATCCTAATCAAAGAGCCTCAGTTAGCGGTAATTTTCATTTGTGACATTAAACAAAGGAGAAAGAATAGAAAAGGCAGGAAAAACAAGCCGAGGTGAGCCAGAGGTAACAGACTGTGGTGCCAGCTTGGCACGTCGATAAGCAGGTCACACTTGGAGAGGCTGCTTCTATCACTGAAACTAGAGAAGCACGTGGGTCTTGCTAATGCTGAGGAGGAAAAAGTGAGCGGGTTCATCCCTTTTTCTAACAGTGAGAGGAGCAGATCAGACTGGGTCCGCTGCCCCCCAGAGGAAGAGAGCCTTGGAACAGCTCAGTGGGTCCCCCTGCCCTGTGACCTGGGACGACTGCCTTTGGAAGCAGTCAGTACAGGAAAGAAACCCCCGAATGGGGACAGATCTTCCTGGATTGAACCTCAAGTTCATCGATGACCAAGCAAGACAAGTTCACGTTGCTTTCTCTGAAAATTAGTGGGGGGGGGGGGGGGGGCAAGGACAGCTAGCCTCGTACAGATGAAATAAGCACAGGGCTGATCACGCCAAGCAACCACATTAGGCCAGAGAAAAATAAAACGGCAAATTCGAGTCATGCCATTTCAAGGCTTATTTCAAATCTACAAAGGGAAGGCTTGTCGTCATCGCTAAGAATGTTAAGAAAAATGTTTCATAGCTTCTAGATCTAGCCTGAACCCTTCTTTCTTCTCTCCCATGTTTGAGGCCCTTTGTTTCACTATGTCAGACAGCAAATTCTCACAATGGGATTCTCCTGGGTTCCCTGCCCTAGTATCATGTTTTCAACCCCATCAACCTCTCTTCAGTAAAGTCTCCAGCTTCCATTTATGTTGTATCTTGGAGAAGGGAAGACGTGGGAAATAAATTTACATGCTCTTTGTACATGTTTGTAAAACATAATGCTTTCTAAATGGCACAGATTACAAACCCAGTTTTAAGGACCAAAACTCACCTACCTCAGTTTTCCAGTCGTCACTAAACATTTACTAAGTGAAATGATGGCAAATATTTTGGATTGAAAGCTATCTCACTCCATGAATGTGTGACTCATTTGTAGCATGTGCACCTACAGATAGTGTATCTACTGAACAAAGTAACAACATACTAAGAGCCAGAAGATGCTGCCTTCATCAGATGAGAACACTCTGAGGGATAAAGACAACAAAAAAGCAGTCGCAAACTCCAGCAGCCCTGGTCAGAGGGTGTGTCACCAAAGGACGAAAATGAGTTTATCATTTCATGTGGCTATCAAACAGAACACCAAGAGGAAATGTTTAAAGTTAGAGAAGAACATTAAGAAAACATTCTAAAATGGTCAAATGTTATAAAAATTAATTTCAAGCAGAGCACCAAATTAGGAAACATTGGATAACTATTGTGCAATTAAAAAGCACTGTCCTAAGCTAACAGATTGTTAATTAAGTTACAACAAATAAGATACAATGGATTGATTAGCATGCCTACGGGAAGTTAAATACAAATGACAAGTACTGAAATTGTAACAAGCAGGTAGCATGTTACAAATAGACTTATACTTGAAATGGTTTCTGCAAATTAAAATTTGTAAATGCAGTAAGGGAATTGGTTAAAGAGCTGACTCTTAATTCTTCACCAAAGGAGAGAACAGTGCATAAAGTACATAGTCGCTGCTCTAATTTGTCTCATTTGTAAATCCTGAATTCAAATAACAGGTAAAGGCAATTCACAGAACAAATACAAACTGCTAAAACATGCCTGAAAACATGCTCAACCTCACCCAGGAATGGAATTGGGGGGTGGGGGTGGGGACATAGGGAAGGTGCCTTTTCATATTCCAGAGCAAAAATGAAAAAGACTGATACCAATACTGGTAAGAGTGAAGAGAAAAGGGTATTTCTCATAGATTAATACTGAAAATGTAAATTGGAAACTATTTGGAGAACAACTTAGCTGTACTCATTAAAATTTTAAATGTATACACACACTCTTCTAGGTATCTATTGTACAAGTGTCCAAGGATTTTATCAACAGTAGTATTTGTACTAGTAAGAACTTGGAAATTACTCAAATACCCATCAATAGAGAAATGGGTGAATACATTTGCTATAGCCACACATGCAACCACTAAATACAGTAAGGTAGAACTGATGTTTTGACATGAAAGGATATCCACCACATGCTGCTGAGTGAAAAAATTAAGCTGCAAAATGATTAAAAGTTTAATCTCTTTTAAAAACACTAAGTATGTGTGATTGAGTGAAGAAATGGATGCCTTAGGAATTATCATTGAGGGGGAAAGGGAGAAGAGTACACAATTTTATTTTGATGCACTGTTGACAATTTTTGTGACTATCATTTTTTGTAATTTAGGTAGAAGGAAGTTATGCTGAAACTGTTAACCTGCTAATTCACTGAAAGTTCAATAGGTGCTCTGTGAGGGAAACACCTCAGGCCCTCCTGAGCAGCCACTCTTTGATTTTACCAACAAAATAGCTCAGAAGAGCAGGTCTGAAAGGGACCAACTTGATCCTGAGGTTCTTTATATGCAGAAAATCATAGTTCTTAAGATACCCACTTTTGCACTCAATTATGATTTAGAAAATTTAGTAAATTTTTTTTTTTTTACAAGTTTTCATAGGCCTTCACCAAGCACGTTACCAACGGAACCACATGAGCACACAGTCCCAAGTTTACAGCTTTAAACAACCTCAAGCCACGGTCAAGCACAGGAGCGAACGCTGCCTGCGAGGTTCAGGGCCACAACTTTCAGAACTGGGAGGAGTTACGCCTTCATCTTTCATAAAGATACTGGTGTGATAGACCTTTCTCTTTATTCTTTTTTAAAGGAATATTCCTTGATCACCCCTTGTACCACATAACTCTCAGAATGACTTATTCAATAGGGGTTTTAAGTAGCATTGTAAAGGAAGGTAAAGTATTAATTATACCATAAAATAGCTGCATTCCAAATGTTTAGAAAATGTACAGGGAGAGGCAAAAAGTAAGCTTATAATTGTTCATATGGAAAATACAATTAATAAGAATAAACTGGCTCACACACTCACAACTGCAAACCTACTTTTGCCCCACTCTGTATATAAAAACCAAGTTCACATATTTGCAGAAAATTTTAAAGGTAATCAACGTACTAGCACAACTGTAAAGTTACGAAAAGCACACACAGTCTCTCTCTCTCTCTCCCTCTCTAATGCACTTAATATTAAACAGTGTTAGGATAATATTTTCCAGGCTAGGATGTACTTTCCACTTGCCCTATTAATAAACCTATGCCCAGATGGGAAATGTAACCAGAACTAAATAAACAATATAAACAGTGAACAGGAGAGCCAGAAGGTAGACTAATAAACCTGGGATGCCTTCACAAACTAGGAAATGTTTTTTAAAAAAGTTTAAACAAATAGAATGGAAGTATAAAATGTTATATATTTGACATATGAAATGGAGAGTATATAAATTTACATATTTGACATGTGTGAAATGCAACTACAAATCACAGGAAGAGACTAATTGATTTCTTTCCAGATAAATCGATAGCATCATGTCACATACTTAAGCTAATGAAAAAAATGTGCCTATTACTACAATAAACAGTCATCATCATCAAATAATCTACACAACTTTAAAACAAGTAACCTTTGTCCTGGATGACAATCACTAATCAAATAACAAATAACAGTAAAATGAATGTGTGGCCTAAAATTAGTTAGGAGTCCAATTCAATGCATGGGTAAGAGATGAACAAAAAACGGAGGAAGAACAAGAAAAGCCACACGACTGCAAAGTGATTCCTTTTTTTTCTTTCTAAACACCCACACAAAGACAGCAGTTTCTGACAAGAATGTTCTTGGCAAAAGATAAAATTACAGGAAGGTTTTTTTTTTTTTTTTTTTTCAATGAGAAAAAGGCAGCTCTATATGTAGATTACTAGGCAATACCGCATGATTTTTTTTAAGGCCCAAATTTAACTTACGTCCCTCATATTTTGAAAATATATAAATAACTTTTTTGGATGACAAAGAGGACTGGAAATACAGTTCCTGTGTGAAATGCTTATTTCATGTTATACTGAAAAGTAAAATTGAACATGGCAGCTTACCTTGGCACTGGAAGCCTTGTTTCCCAAACCCCCTGAAAAACAGAAACAAGAACAAAATATCTTAACATATTTTGTGTGGGATGCCATATTTTAAGCCAGTTATGTGACAAAGTATTTTACAGAGTTAAAGGTATGTACGTAAAACCCAATGATTTGATAGGGAAAACATGCTTAAATAGCTCAGGACAGTGTAAATTCAACTTTGACAAAATCTCCCTGTCCTCTAAAGGCTCACTGAGCTATTTTGGTGTGTCAAGGTTCTTTCCAAAGTTTTACACTATTATCAATGCTTAAATTTCAAGGCAAGAACATAATTGTACATTCAAAGTTGTTGACCTCAAATAACATAAAGGACCTTCTGGGGAAAAAAAATCTAAGTACTTAATTTGGTCCCTAAAGACCAACTGAAAATTATTTTTTCTCCCTAAAGACAGATAAAAAGTATCTTCCTCATTTGTAACGAATTTATTTAAAATATTGTCTACAAATTGTCAAACAGCACCACTCAATATTAAATTTTGGCTTAAAGGAGCCAAGTTTTACAAAGTATCCCTATTTTTGCATTGAGATTATGATCTAAGTTTTATTGAGAACCAATAGCATTTGAAACATACTGAGGCTATTTTGTTATTGCAGGTTACTTTAGCGAATTTACTCTTTAAGTGGAGACCCTTGACATGGGCATTAAATTGTAAACACAGTTCTTATTAGGATGAACTGCATTGACTTTTTCAGGTAATTAGTCATCATGTCTCGCTTTATGTAGCTTTTTATATATACAAAGCACTTCACATATTTTTATCATTAAGTCATTTCCACACCTACCCCCCCCCCAATAAAACACAAACACTTAAATTATCAGTATTTTAATATTTAGATAAAACTCAAATCAGGGACCCAGAAAAACAATAATGAAAGAACACTGAAGAATTAAAACCACTGCTAGACAAGGCTGGTGGTTATTTTCCTGGAACTTCCAAGTGGCTGCTTTACAATTAAGTGGAGAAATGCTGCAGGGGTTACTCAGGGAAGAGCAGATAGGGCGACCTTTATTTTCCACTTCACCTTATACCTGGTGACCAGATGCCCCACATCAGTTCACCAGGGGCTAATCCTCCAGGGCAACTGATAGTGGAAAGACATTTGCTACCCTGCGGATGCATGTTGCAGTCCCTTTTCTAACTTACCTTCTTCCTGCAGAAGTCACCAGCAGTCTAACTGTCCCTTTTCATGGGATTTCACAGTTGACAGGTGAGGCTGAAGACCTCCCCCTTAACTAAATGCAATTATCTTCTTTTCCCTGATGCTCCAAGAACTTATTTTAAATGGTCTTATCTAAAATTACCTACTCCTTCAAGCACAATTGCTTCATAGGCTGACTACACAATGGAAATCATTCATAGAGATAGCTGTGCTTTTTCGTAAGTGTACTTTTGAGCAGCTTTCTAAAAAGGAAAGGAAAAATGAAGCACCTTAGTACCACATTTGTGGGACTCTCCCTTAGAGATGATATTCCCCAGGTGTGATAGATGCAAATAAAGCCATTCATATAAAAACTAAGCACCGTATTAACACCACGTTTGTGGGGACTCTCCCTTAGAGATAATACTCCCCAGGTGTGATGGGTTCAATTAAACGCGGTTAGCACCACGTTTGTGGGATTCCCCCTTGGAGATATTTTTCCCAAGGAGGGATGGATTCACACAGGACCACCCATACTTCTCCCTAAGGCCCCAACAAGATAAATATGACACACAGCCAGCTGGTGGCAGGGTGCACTCTGTGGCACTGTCACGATGGTGCACTTCTCCATCCATCCCTGTGAGAAGTGGGAGCTAAGAAAACCTTAGCCATAGCTCTGACTTGGGGACCTTGGGAAGGTATCCAGGCACAAGAGGTAGAAAAGGCAGGGTATGGGGCAACCTATGGCTGGTGGGGAAACTACAGCTCCTCAAACTGCATCACCTGGAGTTCCAGCTTTCTAAACTTTTGGGCTTTGGGGGAGAAGGGGTGCCACCAATCTTTCGAGAATCAGCTAATAAAGCTATAATTATCTCGCCAATAAAAAGCACAAACGGGAGGGATGGAAGGAGGTATGGGGGACAAATGGTGATGGGGCGGTAAACACACAAGTATTAAGAACTGTACACCTGAAACCTATATAATTTTATTAACCCCCAATAAATTCAATAAAAAATTTAAAAGCACGTGCAATTTCACTTAGTTTTACAGGGTTCTGAGGCCCCTGAAGCCCATCCTTTATCAATTCCTCCCAGACCCCCCAAGGTCCCCGAATTAAGAATAGCTGAGTTCACTGGAAATTACCTGAACTCTGACACCTTTAGCCCGTACAGTATTTTTCCTTAAATAAGGCCTCTGTCCTCGTCGACAGGGTTACAGATCTAATCTCGTGTTGACAGGGTCTATTTTAAATGACTCCCGCTGTCCTTCTGCCATTTGCCTGCTGTTTTATTTCCCCCTCCCCCGCAGCAAGCTTTCAACAGTTTGTTGCCTCTCCTCTCTTTGGGCTCACCCAGAAAAGTCAAAGTCTTTCCGTGCCCAGTAGATACAAGCTACAGTAGGCAGGAACCCAAGGTTCCAGTGGAGTCCACGCCCGATGGGAAACATAAAATACACACCCCCCGAACGCGCCCAGCCTGGCTCGCCAACAACTTGGACCGTGCGGCGCAATCACCGGCTGCCGCGGTTACTCCCGGGCGTGTTCCCCGGGAAACTCTGCCCTCTGGATTCTCCTTTTCACTTTCCCCTTTGCTCACACCCGGCAAACGGCTGCTTCGCTGTTTGCACTAAAGGCCGGCGAGTCTGGGGAAACCGGGCTGCGAGACCCGTGGAGGGGATCAGTGTCACTACGGCGCGCGGCCAGCCTCTCCCACTGCGGCAGGGGGGGGTGTGACCGGGCGATGACTTCCCCAAGAGTCCTGCCCGCGTGTGTGGCAGTGGCCCGGGCGGCCAGGCGCGCGCGTGTCATTCCGAGCGAGAGTTTGGACTCCCGCCTGTTCTCCAAGTTCCCCGAGTCAGCCCTGGAGTGGACACTCCTGGAACCGGGGCTGGGGAGTGAGCGAGGGTCCCCGGGGAGAAAGGGCCCCGGACTAGGGAGGGACTGGCCCCACCCGGGGGTGCCGCGAGAGGGGTCCGGAGTGGCGGTCCATGCACAGCGCCCGGAGCGCACCTACCAGATGAAGTCGGTGCAGTGGCTGCAGAAGGTGGGCTGCTTGAAGAAGCGGGCGATGAATTTGTGGTCCTTCACCTCGTGCACATTCTTCTGTCTCAGCGCCCCTTTGCGGGCGAAGCGGTTGGCCACGTCCTGAGGCGCCGTGGAGTCGTTGGCCGGGAAAACGTCAGCCATGGTCCCCCCCAACCACCTCTTGCCTCCGCCGGGGAGCAGCAGCCGGGGAGGGCCGGGTGGGCGGGGGCGGATCAGAGGGGCCGCGGGCGACCCCGGGCGGGGGGCGCGGGCGGGCTGGTGGCGGAGGTCGCTGCGAAGAGGGGCGGCGGCAGCCGGGAGAGTTGGGCCGGAGCGGCGCGGAGCAAGAGCCGGAGCCACTCACTCGCTTGCTGGCACCACGCTCACTGACAGCCCGGCGACCCGCGCTCGCGCTTCCTACTCTCGGCGGCAGAGGCGGCCCGGAGCGGCACCGCCCACCGCGCATGCCCCGAGTGCTAGAGCCGCGCGCGAGTGTGGGGGCGCGCAGGCGGGAGCGCGCGAGGCTGAGCGGAGCGGCGGGGACGCGCCTGCTGGGGGAGTCGGAGCCTCTGTGCCTGTGGAGCAGCCCAGAAGCTGGAGGAGGCGGCGGCGGCGCCCTGGGGAGAACCAGGCCGAATTTGGGAGCGCAGGCGGACGCTGGGCTGGGCGGACCCGTTCTCCTCTGTCGCCTTTTTCTTTCTTTCCCTTTTCCTTCTCTTCCTCCTCCCGCCTCTCCTCCCTCCTCTGCTTCCGCTCCTTTCGCTTGCCCACTCTTCCCCCGTTTTCCTCCTCCCACTCCCGCTCGCTCCCACCAGCTCCTCTCCCTCCTCCCCGCTACTCTTTTTCTCCTCTCCGGTTCCGAAGTCTGCGCTGCCGGCGCAGGGCTGAGAGGAGCCCCGGGTCCCAGGATGGGGCTCCACGCTGCCTCCACCTCCTGCCGACTGGTCCGACCGACTCCGAGGAGCTCCCTCCTCACACGCACCGCTGCTGCCCCTTCCCTGTCTTCCAGGCTTTATCAGCTTGTATCAATTTGAAGTTTCACCTGGCTAAAACCACTCCAGCTGTGTATGCCCTAAAATGCCCAACCCTCCCATCCGTCACGCTGTTTATATATGGATGGTAGGAAAAAGGGAGCGATTTTAAATTTCACTCATGTGAGATATGAAACTGAACTTCATAGACACAGACAACAGTATGGTGGTTACCAGAGAGGAGGTTGGGTAGTGAAAGGTAAAAGGGGCCAAATGGATGGTGACGGAAGATGACCTGACTTTGGGTGGCGGGCACACAAAGCAATATATAGATCATGTATTATAGAATTGTGCACTTGAAACCCCATGTAATCTTATTAACCAATGTCACACCAATAAATTTAATTTAAAAAATAAAATAAAAAATAAATCATTGAATATTGACTCTTTAACCTGCCTCCAAGTGTCCTATATTTCAGCTGCGCCTAGTACAAAGACTTCTGATTTGCAGGTAGGTTAGTTAAAAAGGGCGTGTCTTTAGTTATTTATCCCCTGGTTTCCTGCCACGGTTAGGACATTGATCATCAGGCTTTCTTGATTTTACAAGTCCAGAACTTTAATTTAGAAATCGTTTGCATCCTAAGCTAATTACTTCAATATTGGCAGGTGCAGAGTGCAGCCAGGACATTTGTAAATTACCAAGTAAAACTGCTTGTGAAAGGATAACTAGCATGCATATGCAAAGGACGCGTTGGGGATGTGCCAACTAATCACTGGCTGAATATTTATTAGTTCTGGCTGGAGAATGCTAAAATACATAAGGGAAACAGCCATCTCCCAGCACTTCGTTAGTGTTTCATTTCATGGTCAGATTCACTAGGTTCACAAATCAATTTCATGAACTGAAGACATCATGAACCTGCCACCTCACACCTGACAGAATGGCTATCATCAAAAAATCAACAAGTAAGTATAGGCAAGGATGTGGAGAAACCCATTGGTGGGATTGAAAGTTGGTGCAAACACTATGGAGATCAGTATGGAGGTTCCTCAAAAAATTAAAAATAGAGCTGCCAATAGACACAGCAATTCCACTTCTGGATATTTATCCATAGAAAACAGAAACACTAATCCAAAAAGACGTATGCACCTCGCTATGTTCATTGCTGTGTTATTTACAATAGCAAGAATATGGAAGCAACCTGCGTCCATCAATAGATGAGTGGATAAAGGAGATGTGAGGTACACACACACACACACACACACACACTATGGAATATTACTCAGCATTTTAAAAAAACTTGCCATTTGTGACAACACGGATGGACCTAGAGGGTAAGTGAAATAAGTCACAAAGAGAAAGACAAATACTGTATGATTTCACTTATATGTGGAATTTTAAAGTAAAAATGAGAAAACAAGCTAGAAATAAACTCTTAGATACTGAGAACAAGCTAATGGTTGTCAAAGGGGAGGGAGGTGGAGGATGGGTAAAAAAATAAAATTAAATGCCATTGACATCCATAAATACTGAAAGAAATAAAGGAAAAGAACATATTATGTAACCCTTTAAGAAGTTAAAGAAAAAGAAAACTTTTCTAAGATATATACGATCTTAAGGCATTTCACATAGACCAAGTCAGGTTACTATTTTTTAAGATGGACTAATTAAACACTAAATGAAAGAAATGGCTTTTATGTTTCAACAAGTGTAAGTTACTGACTGGCCATTTGTGGGGCATGCAATTTTCTGGCCTGTGTCTAATCTCTTGAGCCAATGTGGTTGGTACTTAAAGAGACTGCATCTGCCTGAAATTCTATGTGGTCAGAAATTTCACCACTTATGGCTGCCCCTTCCAGTCCAAGGAGGTAAAAAAAAAAAAAAAAAAAAAAAAAAAAAAAAGGCAAGAAAAAGAATGGAAAGCAGAGCCTACTGGGAAAATAGATCAAATTCTCCACCAAACACCTTACTCATCTCAAGCCATAGCTGTTAATTAATTGCCTAATAATCATAAATCAAAGAGAGTACAGTAGAATGAAACACAGGATTTTTTTCCTCACAGCCATCTTTATCTAAGACAGAAGTTCTCACACAATTTATGAAGACAAGCTTCTTTCTATTCCCCAGAAGCCTTGATGTAATCGTGGAGGAAGAATATGGAAGAGTTGGAGAGTGGGGTTACTAATAGTGCAATCCCTGAGCAAAGTAACAGGGAAGATGAGCTAAGAACCAATGGACCTTGGCAGCAGCCTGCCTGAGATCCCCTGTGTACAGAGTGACTGTAGCAATGGCTGGGCCAGATGGAGACAATATATCTCTTTTCTTTCAGGTTGTGGCTTTGCTTTCTTGCTTCATTTATTACTGTTCCTTGTGGAGAGAACTAACTGGAAGTTTGCTGATTGATAGCTGGACTGAGCTTGAGTGCTCAATTCCCTATAGCTTAGCTCAGTTGTAGGGGTGTGGTGGGGATGCACCTGGAGCAGAAAATTATCAAGCAGCATAACACTGCCCCTAGCAAGGACTGATGGGATGTGAGCCACAGTTGGTCCGTGCCACCCACCTGAGAACCCCCCTTGGTAGCACTAAAATGGAGGGAATTACAGAAAGAACCACTGCGGAGGGAGTGGTGTAATGCAGATAAGTGAACTTCAAGTCTGTATTTCTCCATCTAAAAATGGAGAGATTCATAACTACCCTGGGGATTTCTTAAGAATTTAACCAGATGATGTGTAAAAGAGTGTTTAGTAAATCCTAAAATCTTGCACCCGTACAAGGTAGGTTTGGTCCTCTCCTTCACCAAGTCTGCCTTTGAGAGAAACTGAGTTGAGAGCTCCTCTCTTCTAAGACCATTCTTTCTCCAAAACAGTGACTAGGAATTAGGAAGCAAAAGATGACATATAGAGAGATCATACAAATTTTACCTGCGAGTCTACATTTCAAACGTACAACATCACCCACAACCCTCACTTTTTAATTGCTTTTTAGCAAAAGTCTAATGCCTGGATTCTTTGAAAATGCTAGTTGCACAAGGACCCAAGCAACTCCGTAGCCTTCCATTCACTCCAATGGGAGCAGGTACGTAAGAGTTGTCTCATGGTGTTTTCCCAAACCTGGCTGGGGAGAACAGTTACGAATTCCTGATGAATCCTGTTTCATCTTTCCCCTACCTTCTCTCTTTCTCTCTAGACAATAAACCTTGAAACAAAGCAAATCAACACTAGGAGGAAACTTTTGAAGTAATGTCTAGATTCATTATGTGTTTGATTCACAGGTATTCACATATTTAAACTCACTGAATTTTAGACTTCAAATATCTACAGTTCATTGTAAATCAATCACACCTGAACAAAACTGTAACTTTTTAAAGCCAAATAGCTAAATGCACTATTTACAGACAAGCTAGGCGACTGGTTGAAGAACCAGTTGGCCCTCCCAGGGAGCATTCAGCTGCCTTTCCCTCAGGGGACAAGCCCATTCTGCCCAGTACGTGTGAGACTCAAGTTTTGTTCCTTTCCAGAAACACTCGTGAGCTCCAGCTCCAGGGCATACACTCCACTAGCCCCAGAAATACAAAATGAAGACCAGCTTCCTGCCCTCCAAGAGCTCAGCCCCAAAGGAGAGATGTTCAGACTTGGAGTGGAGTCTCATTTATAAAAGCACAGTAAAAGAATGTTGTTCATTTCTCACGTCCTTTAGTAGGCCTCAAACAAAATGCTAGTGATAACCTGTGCTGAGAGTCTTCGATCCTCCTTCATTTTTTCTTTCTTCCCCTGCCCCTGCTGTGGACTCTGACCTCCCACGTTCTCAGGAGCATCTCAGAAACCACCTTACCCTCCAAAAAATGTCTTCTCCTCTACCCACAGATAGATCAGCTTTGACTCCTTCTCCTCCCACTTATTATTTCTTGTACTCTTGTTTTATCAATTTTGACAAGGCTTCTCCCTACTTCTCCCTTTAGAAAAAGCCCTTCTGTCCTCTTCCTATGATCTTGCATGACAAAAAGTCTAGGAACTGATTTAAACAGGATAAATTAGGGTGTAAGTGAGCATCAAGATAGCTGAGTAAAGGGAGAGTGCTGGCAATTACCAGATTCTCATCTATTGATTCAACGGTGAATACTAAGTCCTGGAATATTAATATGTTGTATGTTTACCATATGTTGATACAGTGGTGAGCCAAGCAGACATAATTCCTGCCTTTGTGTAATTTATATTCTCTTGGGTGATTTGAGTGGGAGAGGGAAATTTGTGCACACTACCACCTAGCAAGATTTAACACATCACTTATGCTCACTTCTACTTTTATGATACCCATCATTTAACACACATTCAAAATGCTGATCTTAGTTTGGATGTTTTATGCTGTACGCAGCAATGGAGTGAAAAAGAGCACACTTCCCCTACCCCCACACCCCGGCGGTATAGAG